CATTTATCTGTAAGAAAGTATTTCCTTGAGAAACCGGTTTGTGGTTTTGACTCAAGAAGGCTTTAGCAGTTGTTAAAGCAGTTATAATATTTAGTTGAATATAGTGGATTAAGACCTCGTTGGAGAGAGGCGAAATCACCTTGATGGGTGGACTGGAGTAGTTTGAGATCAAACGAACCAGGATAAAAATAACATGTTGTCTGCATTTGATTTCAAGTTTTACAATTCAACCCCCCTTCTTGTGTTTTTCACTTCTTCATTGTTCAGATCCTTTTCAAGCTTGGGTGCAGTTACCATATGCCTCCATTTAGATGACAAGCTTCTGATAATCTTCTTCACATGATCTGCCTTTGAATATCCTTTGTTCAAAACTTTCAGTCCTGCAACTAAGGTTCGAAATCTTAAAAACATGACTCTTAAGATTTCATCCTCCTCCATTTCGAAAGCTTCATATTTCTGAATCAAGGCCATCACCTTGGTTTCTTTGACTTGATCATTTCCTTCATGAGTCATTTTGAGAGAGTCAAATATAGACTTAGCAGAGTCTTTATTTGTGATCTTCACATACTTAGTATAAGAAATTGCATTCATCAAGATGGTTCTTGCTTTATGATGATTCTTACAATCTATCTTTTGTTTATCAGTCATAACTCTCCTAACTATCTCTTTTCCATTATCATCTGTGGGAGGTACGTAGCCATCGACTACCATATCCCAAAGATCAACATCATGACCTAGAAAGAAACTCTCTAGTCTATTTTTCCAGTATTCAAACTTTTCTCCCTCAAAGATGGGGGGTTTAACATTATAACTTTTATTGTTTGAATCTGATGCAGCAACATCTAGTGTGGGTTCAACCATTATATTTCTTCAAAGAAAAACTCGTCTAGTTCTTTATCTGACACGGTTAAGTGTTTGATAACTATCAATATCAGAATAGGAGCTCTGATATCAATTGAAGGTGTGAGAAACACAAGAAAATGGGGGTTTGAGTTGAGTTTCACCAAATTGAATATTTTCTCTGGTGACAGAACAAGTTAGCTTAGAACATAACAGTAAATGAACACGATTATTTTTATTCTGGTTTGTTGTTAACTAAGTTACTCCAGTCCACCCCTCGAGGATGATTTCGCCTTCTACAAGGACTTAATCCACTATAACCAAACTGATTATAGATAACCCATAATAAGTCTGATCAACCTTATTGGCACCCCTAATAAGTCCGTTGATCCTTATTACAAATCCACTCAAACCGCCGCAAGAGTCTTCTTGAGACCATACCTTTACTCGGTCTCTCAAGGTATCATTCAACAACATTTAAGTACTTTCAGTGTATTACAAATTTGCTTCTTTTAAGCAGATTACACAGACTTTTCAGTACAAAGAAAAATACCTAAGTGTTCTACTGCAAGATACGAGCAACAACTCCTTGCTTATTTACAAAACTATACACAAAATATTTTATCTAAAGAGTTTGCACAATGCTTTGGTGTAGTTTTGCTTGAGTTTGATTTAATCTCATATATTTTGTGTAATGTTGATTCTTACTTTTCTTCAGCTTCTAAGTCTTCCTTTTATAGCTTGTAAAATAGATATGTTGAAAGGGTAGAAAGGTAATCAGAAACATAGTTGTTTATTCTCAACGATCATAATGAGAGTGGTTACAATATAGTATAAAAAGAATTGTCCTTACGCCATTGTAGAGGGTAGAAGTCACATACTACTTTATGTACCTTTTGTACACCATCACACATTAACCTTTTTGAACTTCTTCTTATCTTCAGAGACTTCAGATATTTGAATGTTAAACATTGAAGCTTTTTGTAGAAGAATCTTTCTGAAGTCTTAGAAGCTAAGTCTTGGAGTCTTCAGAACTTGTCCTATCAGAACCTTGTCTTCAGAGTCTTCAACACTTGGTTGTAAGAACTTGATTTTCTTCAAATCATCAGAAAAGCATCACCTAATTGGAGAACCAGTATTTGGCTTGAACAACCCACAACCCTAATTGGAGAACCATCGCTTGAATTTCTTGATTAGAAACCATGTCTTCTAAAAGAAACAAAAATTAATAAGACCTATTTTTGGACTCTGGTTAGAGGTCGGTGAAATATAAAACACATATATACAAGGTACACGACTCAAGGTGCTTGGTGATCCCTCAGTGAAAAACTTAAAGATAGGAGAGAGTAGAAGATATAACCAACTCAAATGCGTGATCTTGATGCATTGTGAAGATATGAAGTGATAAGGGATCTTATGGGGGAAATTGAGGTATAACATAAAGACACATAATCATCTCTTCTTAAAAGCTTATGACTGATTAACAAAGTATAACTCAAACCCAATCCAACTCTAATATCAAGGTGATAAGAGAGTGACTCGCAATAAACAATGAACAAACTAAAAACCCTAATACTCATTTTACCGCACAACTTCTCAAATTGCATTAGGTTCAGAATGTCCTTTTAAAAGTCTTTGGCAAGCATGAGCTTCAGACTCTTCAATCAATTAGATACAAATCCAAAAACTGTTTGCTGCATAATTTATGCAGAAACTTATCCTTAAAATAAGGAACAACATCACATGTTTCCTAAAATGTCTTAACATCCTATTTTATGAAACAAGCGCACAACTGGAATAAAAGCAGTTGTTCCAAAATAAACCCCTCTTGAACTACGAAAATATGAGAAATAAAACAACAGAGAATCTCTCACTTAAATAAACCAAATCTTCCATGAAGTAAAATTGAGCCTGCTATAATGCCTGATCAAGATGTCACGACATCTTACTCAACATTTGGCTGTGATCCATGTTTTAACAAAATTACAGACCTAACAATGTTATTCTAAAAAATTGTTAACTTTGTAGAAATGAAAAGTCCACTAGGGGATACAAATGAATTTCACCCATAAAACTCTACTCAAAAGAGATGTGTTAGAAAATGATGCCTCTTAACCAAGTTATACAGCCCCCTAAACTCTTGGCGCAAAAACTCAGTGACAACAGAAAATGTTAAGCAAGAAAGAAAAAAGCAAATTCCTTCATGAGCGGGGGGCCAATATCACCACAACTACAAGGCAACAACATTGTGAATTGGGGTTAGTACCACCATGAAAGATAATAAAAGTCACTATAGAGAATAACTATTGCCACCATAAATGGAAGTTCACCTCATAGTTGATAAACAAAAATGAAGTTACCCATGATCCTAAAATACATAGAAAAATAAGAGAAAAGAAAAACAAAACTTACCAAAATGTTAACACTAAAACATTGGGATTGCAAGACGTAGAGAAATCCAACCAGAAAAGTAAACAAGGAAGGATAAACACTAGTGAAGTTTGACTCATACACTCTAGAAGAAAAAAAAGCAAAAAAGACTTAAATAAATAAAATAAATCTTATTTATAAGAAAACCCCAACAAATGACTAACCATACAAAGCCATAAGGATTAGAATCATTATAACTACATTTCTACATTTTGTAATCATCACACTAGGGTAAGGGGTCAAAATAATTGATTACGCCCAAATGCCCATAATCCCTTAAAACTACACTAAGGGAACACATCGTATAAAGTGAAATGCTAAGAGTTAAGTGACAAATAACTCAAAAATAGTTATGAATAGAATATGGATTTCCATACAATGAATTAGCATGGGTTGATAACATTAAAGTTATGAAAATCGATAGGATCATAGAAGGTATCTTGAAGAGCCCGTAGAGGAAAAATTGTGTAAATTAAGGATATTTAGACACATGTCTACAAACCATTCAATGAAAATCACGAAGGCCAAACCCGACTTGATTTCACTAAACCCGACTTATGGGATTATTGTGCTTGTTTGGCCGCAAGACTCATAAATAGTCATAGTTTAACTCACATATAAAATTCTCTAAAAATACTATAACTTTATGAAGGCTACATCTAGTTCAGTCAAAAGCAATCTCATTGATGTTACACCAGATTAATAACATTACTTCTCCAACTATGAACCTAAGTTAGGACCCCACCAACAAGCATGGACATGCCCTAGGAAAATACCCGATCAAAGAAAATGATTGAAGGAGGACCAATAATATTCTGAGACATATCTATTTAACTATTCTACATAAAAAGATTCTATGTTCCCAAAATCTTATAACATGACTCTATAAAGGAATACAACATGTCAAGTTAAGGTATACATTTTTCCTAACATAGAACCCCTCTTACTTCCAACAATCACTGACTCAAGTGTCGAAGTGTCTATAAACACCACCATCCCCTGACATTAGGCCAAACTCAAATCCCATAATAAATTATCAAGAATTACCCTATATCCAACTTGTTCACACACGTATGAGCTACTTCGATCTAAGAGAGATTATTATATTACAAATTTAGTGGTTTGTTTATATTAACAAGTTTTTACTTTGTTAACTTGACTTTGAGTTATGTTACTTAAAGTGTTATGTATTATTTTGTTATTTTATATATATATGATACACTTAGACTTTATTTAAGAGTTTAGCGAGGAAGATACGAGAGGGTTTTGAAAAATGAAGGATAAAGTGAAAATAATTGAAAAATTTTGATTGGAGAAATTTTAAAAGGTTATTTTTATTCATAACATAAAACTCTCGTAATTTAATAAACTCAAAATTTATGTTGAAGAAGAATCTTAGAAGGTTCACATAAATTTTTCAAATATATTTTATGTTGTTATAATATTATAAAAATTAAAAATATAATGAAAATAAATATTTATTTATTATTTAAATAAAAGTACAATTACAAAAAAATATTAAATATTTTTCTATTTTTTACAAGGATCATGTTAACGAGTATTATCTTAGAGATACTCTTTAAAAATTTCAAATATAAAAAGTATTCTTTTAAAAAAATCGATAGTTATTGCCATTAAAAAAAACTTCACTCCTCACTTCCCACAACTTTTTGCACAACTTTTCGACGGTGATTACATTTTCCCCTTTTAGAGAGAGAGAGAGAGAGAAAATGGAGAATCTATGGCGAGCAGCGACAGGCCAAGAACCCGACCCAGAATCCTACGCCGGAATCGAATTCTGGTCAAACCCAGAACGCGCCGGCTGGCTAACAAAGCAAGGCGACTACATCAAAACGTGGCGGCGGCGCTGGTTCGTTCTCAAACAAGGCAAACTCTTCTGGTTCAAGGACCAATCCTCCGCCGCCACACACTCCTCCGTCCCGCGCGGCGTGATCTCCGTATCCACCTGCCTCACTGTAAAAGGAGCCGAGGACGTTCTTCACAAAGCCTCCGCCTTCGAACTCTCCACGCCGGAGTCCACTATGTTCTTTATTGCCGATAATGATAAGGATAAAGAAGATTGGATCAATTCGATTGGGAGGGCGATTGTTCTTGGGTCGAGATCTCATGCTGCTTCTGAGGTTATTGATTATCGTCAATCTACTGATACTTGATGGCTTTTTCTTGTTCTTGTTCTTGTTCATCTCTTTGTATACTACAGTTCTTTCTCTGTTTTGATTGTGATGAACTGTGATGAACCCAGTTGTAAAAGTATTCATCTGTATTTTCTTTTTCGGTTTTTTCAATAAAAATTTATGCTTTTTTGGTTTTTTGGTAATTGGGTATGTAGGATTTTGGTTTGATCTGGTTGAATAAGTGATTTTCGGATAAGTGCTTTATGGATATTGTTTTGTATCTTTGAGAAAAAGTGATTTGGGGGAAAGAAGTGAGGAAGTGGGATTCAATTATTTTGCTTCTTGATTGTCACTTTTGTAAGCTAAGAGTTGATGTTTTGAGTTTTTCCTAACTGGAGTCAAAATTAGAGTTAAGCATTGCTGATGGAAATTTGCTTGAGTAATGTGTTTTTTCTCTAATTTGTTTTATTGATTTAGTTTCTCTTATGAATAAATAAGTTTGTAGTTTCATAAATCATATATAGGTGAATGATGATTCTCCTCTAATAGTCACTTTTATTGAAATTATGTACAGTAACTCTTAGAACTCTTGTCGTATGAATTGAGAATTTGAGATGGCTGCATGAGGAGTAGTATGCTTTGTGCTTAAGCAGTACTATTGCTGCACTTGGAAGAACTTTAATGGGTATGGAAAGAAGCCTTCTAAAGGGCTTGGGAGGAACCAGCCACGCGTCACTCCGGGTCGCCTGACTGTGACATGGATCACCCGACTTACATCCGTGTTCGCCACCCGATCCACTTCAACAACACGTGGCAGTTAAGGTAATCAAAAAAGAGTTAGTCGGACCGGAGCATCAAAGGAGGATACTGCCCCCCTATAATGGGGGAAGAACCAGTTTCCCTCTACTGTCGTGAATTTGTTGGGAAAGTAAGGAAAAACCGGTGAGTTCGTTGGGAATGTAAGAAAAAACCGGTTCTTCCCTACTATCCGACCCAAAAAACCATCTATTTATGCTCCAATCTCCAAAAGTTTGGAGATTTATTCACTAATTCTCAGAGATTTAGTAAATCAAGAGCCTTTTTGTCTCCCCACTCGTGAAAGTTTCATTATTGTATTTCACAAGTACTATAATTATAAAATATTTTAAACTAGATGTGTGTTGGAGAGGAATGAGGAATCTTGTTATAACAACAGCACTTAATAATGATAATTAAGCTGTCCTATCTTTTCTTTTTGATAGTGGTAAGTAAGTGTGTTTTGTTGTCAAGTTAGCAGCATAATTAAATGTTTTTGAAAAACATGCTGGCTATTTCATGTGAATATTACTTTACGAGTAAGAAAGTGAAGGATTAATTTGTTCACAAAGATATGTATGGTATCATTGCTTTGCATTAGGGTTTGAGTTGATACAATTATTAGTTCTAGCAAAGCTAGCATGCCTTGTTTCATATGATACAGAATTTGGATAACTCTGTCCCTTATCATGAGGATTGAGGAGTGACATCAAAGTAATCAAAGTAATAATCACCAGTTTCATTAATAACAATAGAGCATCAACAGTTGCATTTGTTCATTGTATGAAATCGGAGTTTATTGATTGTTGGTTTACTATTCTTTCTAATTCTTCAATGTTACTCTTCAAGGGTATTGAAAAATAATAGGAGTTACTTTTTTACTTCATTCTTTATTATTTATACAATCACTTTCATTTCCAAACAACTGTTACCTTGCTCATCCATGGTAAATAGAAGTTGAAGGAAAAATCGTAGCCTGCCCCATTTTTGACATCTTGTTTTTTTTAGGTAAAAAACATTGACTAAAAGTGAACAGAAATTCAGTTTTGCACTCTCTTGAGCTTAGTTTATGTGAATTGCTCATTAGACTCTTATATAAGTATATTACACCTCTAAAAATTTGAAATTGCCTTTTAGTTATCTGGAGATACACTCCGGTCGCACTCAAATTACAAGCAAAATATGCTATTCTGAGATCAATTTCATTTTGAACAAAATACGGTCTGGAGATATATCTTCGTATGGTATTTAGTGTATTCGAAAACGCGTCTCTAAAATATCTCCGAAAAGTGTTTGAAAGCGTAGTAAATACATGGTATTTAGTGTATTCGAAAACACGTCTCTAACATATCTCCGAAAAGTGTTTGAAAGCGTAGTAAATACAAAGGGAGAATTATTTAGGAGATGCATCTCCAAAATCCTCCCCGAATCATATCAGAACAACATCATTGTGCAAACATTCAATTTCTGGGAGGTCAACTTCTATTAATGTAAATTTAAAGTAAAACGAAGTTATATTAAAGTTAAAAGAGGATAAAAACTCATATATTAATAAAAAAAAGTCCAGATAATTCATACATAACATTTGTCTATGTAGGTGTTTAGGTATTGGCTTGCATTTTTGGTAAATTCCAAGTGTATGTGTGAATGTCATGACTGATGTCATAACATTCTAGTTCAGGTTGTACTAACTCTTTAGGTACATGTGCAGAAAAATATTGTAACTCAAATACTGATGTTTATAAGTGTGTATCTGAGCATGTTTGCAAAATGATCACATTTTGCTAATCAGTAGACAGGTTTTCTCAGATGTCATAACAGATGTTATGACATCCTGTTCTGAACTAGCAGGATTACAGGATTGGATAAGTCTGAGTTTTTTCAGGAAATAACTCAGTCCTTCCTAAACAGAATCCTGCGTTTTCTGAGGAGTTACCTAGCTCAATCCTAACCTGATCAATAAAGTACTGTGACCTGGTCTTAAGGTCAAACGGAATCAACCCTAGGTTTTTGGAAACCCTAACTGAAGTTGCAGCTGCTATATATTCAACAGAGCTGCGGTTTTTGAAATCATCCCGGCTGATTGATTAGAAGATCAAGTTTGTAATCTGTATAGATTTGTTTATTGTACTCCAAGCAATTATCATTGTGATAAGTGTCTTGGAATAGGTTTCAATTGTAAGGGTTGTGTAGCACTCAAAGCTGTGAAGCAAGAGTGTTTGAATGTTACTTGACTAAAGCTGTAAAGCAGAGTCAAGTTAGTTGTGTACATCACTCAAAGCTGTGAAGCACGAGTGATTGTGTTACTTGATTAAAAAGCTGTGAAGCTTAATCAAGAGTGTGTTTTGAAGAGTGTCTTCATCAATTCTCAAGTCAAATTGGTTTATGTATCACTGCTGTGATTGAGGGGGAGTGAGTAGGAACTCAGGTTTAAGTTGAACTTAGATTAGAATTGCATTGGGTAGGTCTTAAGTGAAGGAGATAAACTGGTTGGTTTATTCCTGAATTAACATCTCTTATAGTGGATTCTCTCCCTGGCTTGGTAGCCCCCAGAGTAGGTGTTGTTGCACACTGAACTGGGTAAACAATTGACTGTGTTATTTACTGCTTTTGTATTTACTGTCATATAGTAAGTCAGATACGGTGTCATAACATCGGACGTGACATTAAGTATCTGTAGCCAGAATTTCAATTGGCATCAGAGCAGGCACCCTGCCTGTATTACTGGGTGAGATCTAGGGATATCACTTTCTGGCACTATGGACAAAGAAGGAGTTTTTGGAAATAGACCACCCATTCTGGATGGAACTAATTATGACTACTGGAAACCTCGTATGATTGCATTCCTAAAATCTCTGGACAAAAAGGCTTGGAGAGCTGCTGACAAAGGATGGATTCATCCCACCATAACTGAAAGAGATGGGACAATCAGTCTGAAGCCTGAAGAAGATTGGAGTAAAGAAGAGGATGAGTTAGCTCTGGGAAATTCAAAAGCTTTAAATGCCTTGTTCAATGGAATAGATAGAAACATCTTCAGACTAGTGCATCAATATGAACTGGCCAAAGAAGTTTGGGACACTCTCAAAACTACTCATGAGGGAACTTCCAAAGTAAAAATGTCAAGGCTTCAGATGTTGACCACTAAGTTTGAGAATCTAAAAATGATGGAAGATGAAACCATTCATGAATTTCACATGAACATCTTGGAGATTGCCAACACCTCAGGAGCACTGGGAGAAAAAATGTCAGAAGAAAAACTGGTGAGGAAGATTCTCAGATCCTTGCCTAAAAGATTTGCAATGAAGGTAACTGCCATAGAGGAAGCCCAGGACATTAGCAAGTTAAAAGTGGATGAACTTATTGGGTCTCTTCAGACTTTTGAGATGGGGATCACTGATAATGGTGACAAGAAGAACAAAAGCATAGCACTTGTATCCAACACTGATGTTGAATACAAGGAAGATGAAGAAGAAAACATATCAGAAGCCATTGCCATGTTTGGAAGACAGTTCAACAGGCTCATCAAAAGAATGGACCCAAAGTCAAAGTCTAATGTTCATAACATTCCTTCTGACATTGACAGCAGAAGACCAAGGTCAGAAGATAAGGGAAACCAAGGCAGAGGTATTCAATGCCATGGATGTGAAGGATATGGACATATTCGAGCTGAATGTCCTACCTTTCTTAAGAAGCAAAAGAAAGGAATGACTGTTACCTGGTCTGACTATGATTCAGAAAGCAATTCTGAAGAAGAATCTGCCAAACTAGTTACTGCCCTAACTAGTGTTTGTACTTCTGAAAGTGACACCAGTGATGAAGAAGTGACATTTGAGGAACTGGCTGATACCTACAAGAAATTGTGTATCAGAAGTGGTGAAGTCTGTGTGCAAAATGAGAAACAATCAAAACTCATTGTAAAGCTGGAGGCTGAAAAGAGAGCAAATCTTGAAACTATAAGTCATTTAGAAGGAGAAGTTCAACTACTGAACTCACAACTGAATCAAATGACCAAATCAGTCAAGATGTTGACAAATGGAACAAACAAATTGGAAGAGATTCTTCAGGCTGGACAAAATATGGGAAATAAATCTGGCCTAGGATTTGTGGAAACAAAGAAATTTGTTACCAGGAAGCAAATGTCAAAACGGATGTCTCAACATTACTCTCAACATCAGGGACAGAGACATATGAAGAAAAGGTACCAAAGATGGAGATGTCATCATTGTGGGAAATATGGTCACATAAAGCCCTTCTGCTTCAGATTGCATGGATATCCGAATCAGAACTCAGATGTCAAATCTAAGTCGAAAAGGGTACCACACACTCCTCAATGGAAGAAAAAGGCTACTGCACTAATAGCTCACACTTCCCTGAAGACCTCTGTAAAGGAAGATTGGTACTTTGACAGTGGATGTTCCAGACACATGACTGGATTCAAAAATCTCCTCAATAATGTTATGCCTCACACCACCAGTTTGGTGACCTTTGGAGATGGTGCTAAAGGAGAAGTCAAAGGAGTTGGCAATTTGGACTACCCTGGAGTTCCAAGTCTGAATAAGGTACTGCTGGTAAAAGGATTGACTACTAATCTCATTAGCATCAGTCAATTATGTGATCTAGGATTCATGGTCAACTTCTCAAGATCTGAATGTCTAGTAGTTAATGAAAAACTAGATGTTGTAATGAGAGGAATCAAATCCAAAGATAACTGTTATGTGTGGCAGCCTGAGAACACTGATATCTCCACTATGAGTCAAATCATCAAAGAAGAAAGAGAGATGA